ATTGCTTTATTAACATTTTTCAAGATGTACAAACCTAGAAATTTGTTATCCATCTTGCAGAAACTTCAGAGCAATCTTTCATTGTACGAGTCAAAGTTATCCCTACTGCAGGCCATGAGAGCAAGACTTATCAGAAGTTCAGTTAATGGAGCTCAAAGAACTTTGCTAGCAGCACTAGCTGATTTGCGAAACCAACTCCTGGTAGTGTCAGAGAGGTGTCAAAAGGTGTATCGTGATGTGGAGGAAGATGAGGATCTTCCAGTAGATCACCACACAGATATCGGCAAACTGGCTGTGGTTGCGGCCTCACTGCATGAAGCCTTGAAGAATCCTCAAGGCACAAAGTAAAATACTTTTCTGACTTTGAAATTTCTATTGAAGTAATTCTAAATCTATAATGTTTTACTGCAATTCTCTATCACATAACTGGCCATGTATGGTTAGAGTTGCCAAAATGATTAAGTTTAGAGAATCTAACATTTGAGTTTTTAAGTGTTTTCCTCTTGGTGTGTTCAATCATCTTTTATTTGGTGACAACTATTTACACCAACCAATGGCTTAGCATTAAGTTGTTTCTAAGAAAATGTCAAAAGAAGAAAAAAGTATTCAGTTATTGTTACTTAGAAAATGAATACATAACAATTACCTCATCACAAATAATTTGATTCCTTAACTCTTTATCTCTGTAATTATTTTTCCACTTTCTGACAGAAATGTCATTTTTCACATTTGTACATTATCTACCCTGTTATGATTAAACTTCAATAACATTTTTGTTTGTAATCAGAAAACGTTACTTTTGGTATAGAATTATAGGAGAATGCAAGCTCTTTTTATATAACAAAAGTTATACTTTCTTAAACCAATAATTAATTTAATTTAATGGGGTCAAATCAACAATGGTATCATTAATTCAGAGAGAAAGAGTTAAAGTGTTTTAATATTCTAAACGAAGTTTCACAAAATCAACACATGTTCTCACTCTAATAGTTAAAATTGATTGCACTTGGACATCTTGCTTATTATTTCATGGGCTATCATAACATACATAGAGTTCACAAGTATTTTTTCTACGCTCAAACTTACTAAAATTATATTTTTTTATTCTGTTCTCATAGATTGCTTGGAGAAATCTCTGATGGCTTGTCCAGCAGTGTAGTCAGTTCAAGCCCATGCATCAGCAAGACCTGTGCTTCCTGGCTGAGGTCTCTACCTGTGCAGGTAGTGGCACTTATGTTGGTGGCTGGGCTTGTGTGTGTCTTGGACCCTGACCTCATTGATAGGCTGACCAGTTTTACAATGACTGTGACACCTGAGCTGCAGTATGTGAATGGACCGCCCAGCATGTGAGCCTGATGGAAAGCAAGTGTTCATCTTCTATACAAGCTGCAGTGCCCCAGCTCACCCAGTAACTAGTCACTAGAGAAATCCTATTCTTTAACCCGGTTTATAGACTGTAATTGTAGCATAATACTTGGCTTTCTGTTGCCAACCTATTTATTTATTTTTATTCTGATTTTGTTCAAGTAGACATATTGGTATCTGATCCGCAGATACTGGGGGAACCAGTGTAATTAGGTCCACATGAGAAATTCAAATATATTCTTAGTTTTGAAAATAATGGAAATGGACTGTGGAACAAGAGAAGTATTTAGTCTTTTTACACACTGAAAACTATTTTATGCATTCAACACTCATGAGATATGGAGATACTGTTACATGTTAGCAACTCTGTCTTGTGTTGAGTAAACATTTAAAATATTGCTATGCAGTGATGTTTGGCTTTAGGCTCTATGTAGCCCAACCCATGGATAAATATGTGTGCCATATTCTGCGCTTACACAAAATAATTAGAACATTGTGTTATATCTAATAAAAAGAGCACTTTTCAAGTGTGTTATGTATCCTACATAACCCTGTGTTCAAATGAAAACAAATCGCTTGAGGCATCAGCCTTGCGTCACATAGGTTTGAGCTCAGCTCCCTTGTGTTGATATAAATCTGACATTTGAATGTTGTCATCTTATAAACATTGTCACCTTGTAAGTCTCTGAAATCATTATTGTTGTATTTTTAATGTTGTTTCATTGGAAATTAATTTCAACTATTCCTTTAGTACTTTATTGTAACTGAAATGAACAAGATTACTTGTATTGTGCTCCAAGTAAATAGTAACATTTGAATTGGATATTTAGACCTGAAATCATTCAAACAATGTACATTTTCAAAAGTGAATATCAAGTTGAATGTTTTCATATTTTTTGTAAAATATATTTATAAAAAAATAAAAAAAACTACACAAAAAAGAAGAAAATTAAAAAAAGATATTGAAGTGAATCAAAATCAAACAAGTGTTAAAAGTAGTGATTTCATGTTATTTGTTAGCATTATAGTTAATAAGTTTGCTAATACCATGACTGGTACTTTTTTTCAGCTTAGTACCATAAGTATGTGTAGACCATATATATCTTTTTGTTCTGTGGTCATACAGCTAGAGCTGTCTAGTTTACACTGAATATTTGTACTATGACAATTCTGGTTGCAAGAATATTCTTTGCATGTTTATTTTTTTTTTAAACCTAGCTATGTTTATTTCTTGCCTATGTGTCCATGTCAGCTTCCAGCTAGTTTAGCTCATTTCTATGTCTCTGAATTACACTGCTCTTCTTCTGTGTACTTGATACCTCACTAGAAAGTGTAGCCTACTTAGATCTGTGTTTCCTTTTTCTCTGGCTTAGTAGAGTTACAGTTTGTAGTGAAGGAAATTCTAGAGCTTATAGATTATAGCTTCAAAAATTGTGTAAACCTGGGTTTAGAAAAGTTTCAATTGTTGATAGTAAGTTCAGTCCTGTATCTATGTTGTTGTTTGTGGTTGATACTGCTGTTGTTGGCTGGTAAAAACATTGTTACTTCAGGGCAGAAGTCATTCAAATGAACTCCTATACACTTGTATGGCTAAGGATCACATTTACATATGAAGTACAACTTCATTTCATGTTTGAATTGTCATTGTTGTATTGTATACAAGTTCAACAATCTAGAAATGTATACAAGATATTTAGAACTTCAATTTTGTTTAACATTTAAGCAAACAGAGGGGATTATGGGTTATATAATCTTACTCTTAGGAATAAAGTGTTAGTGCACTCATGAAAATGTTTTTTGCTGTAATAATAATAATATCTTTATTTTCTGTGTTATTTTGTTACAGCAGTTCATTTTTTAAAAATTAAAAGGAAAAAAAAAAAGGAAGTCTTCTATATATTAACATAGAGACTTTTTTTTTCCAAAACTTTTGAGTCTTAATCCATGCAGTTAATGCTACCTCAACACATTGTTACACACATTTGACAACAAAGAAAACTATTTCAGCCCTGGTTGTTTCATCAAAGCCATGCATTGTTAGCAATAAATTTTGAAACAATAGAATGTAGGCAGCATACATAACATTAGAAAGTAAGAGCTCATTGGGTTGTTTTATTCACAAGAAAATATTTAAACCTTCAATTTGTGTTCATCATCAAGTCATTTTGTTTTCATCCACAAGTCACCAGATACATTGAGAGCATGGGTTGTCTGATGTAACATATTTTATGACCTTGTGACAACTTCATTTTCTTTTTAAGTCATACTATTCTTGGAGTCACAGAATTACAGTTTACTGTATTGGCATAAGCTTCTATGAATTCTTCCTTTTGAAAGTCAATGCAAAGTATTTCTGTTCTTAAAGAGAACACAATAAATGAACCTATTCAGGACCACATAACTTTCATGGCATGGCTGTCTATTTTGAAGCAATTTTAGTGAGCCAGTTTATCAACTGGTATTGACTTGGATAGAAAAATAACATGGACTTTCAATTTGTTAAGAGTCTGTACTGTACATGGAGGCTATGCACATTCTGTATCCTGTAATTGGTCTTGTGTTGTGAGCTAGTTGAACTTGAGTGATTCAGCATCATATAATGTTATACTAACTATTAAACTTGTACTCTGCAATGTATTGTCACTACAAGATGAAAGTTGAAACATGGTGTACTAACTCAGCAGTTAATAATGTAATGATGTGTGTTAAATGTATTTAAGACCAGTCTGTATTCGATAGTGTCACATCTTATGGCACAATTTGAACCTATATTGTTGTACAAGTTTGAGAAGTACTAAATTTTATCTTTTATCAAAACATCAATGAAATGAAATGCATTAGTAGCTAATACTAGTAAATGATTTTAGACCTAATTGAATTAATTGGGTTAGTACACTGTCACCAATTGATTGCACTGTAGTAGTTTGAAGATGTATAGGTTGTGTAGTTGGTCATTTTGTGCCTTGTTTACTTTTCCATGGATTACTAGCTAGGATTAAAGTTGGCAGCAACAATCTTTGGAAGAATACAAACTATGAACAACTTATTTTAAACAAATAAGATTTTAAGTTATTGACCACCACAAAGTGAATCTTGTAGCAAGAATGTGAAGTGGTCACAGAGTTAAAAAGAAAGTTGACAACTAGGGAACATGAAATGAATTGATTTCACTTTCAAATAAAAGTTGATATTGTTGCCAACTTTATCCTGCAGAATTTATTTATTCTTCTAGTTCTTAACCTGGATGTTCACAAGTTTGTCTCTTGTATTGGACAGTGTTGTGGAACATGTAATCCCACATTTTGACATGCCCCAATAGGGAATCTATTTTTTACAAACTTTAAAGTCCAAGGTAAAAAGTTCAGCATTATAAGTTATTGGATGAAATAACTTCTCTATCATTGTATTTTAATATCAACTTTTTTGTGAATCTTGTTGAAGTTTTGAAGCTTTACTTTTCAAATATTGCATTCATGATTTTCTCCACAAATTTCTTCAAATTTTTTTTTTTTTCTGAGGTGTTAGTTTTTTAAAGAAATTGAATCTTTTTAAAATTAATAAATAATTCAATGATTGTTTTAAATTGAAGAAATATTTTCAACAAATAGTTGTATGTGCAATAAAGACTTGAAACACCCCCCCCCCCTTCCTTCATGTGTATATAGTCACTCTTTTATTCTTTCAACATTGATGTCTTGTGTTTGGTCTCTTCCTATCTCTCTCTCTCTCTCAGCAGATCAGGAAATAACAAAATGACAAAACCTGCTCTTTAATATTAGTTGCAGGTTTAGTATCTACAGATTGACTTATTAATTTATTTATTTTAGGCATCCAATAGTTATCAAAATTTTTTTAAATTGATAAAATTTCAGTCAATTTGTAAACATTCAGGTTTTGACATCAATTCCTATATTACATGTACCTATTTATAATACAATACTTTTTGTTTTGTCAATGTAAGTTATTAAAAAAAAAAAAAGAATAAACTTGTTTAACATGTTTACAAATTGTGTTTCTTGTTTCATTGTGTCGTGATGTTTGGATATACAGACACAGATGTGTTTGTGGAATTGAATTAGCCAACATGTTTGATTTGTTAAGTTTGAATGGTTTTAGGAATGTCTGAAATCAAGAACATAGCAAGCAAAATAAAAAAAAAAAAAGCTCCTCATTTACAGATATCTCTCAATACTGTAGAAGTTATTCCCTTTTAACAACAAACAAAATAAATTAATTACCTGGTACCAATAATTTACTAACTAATTGGTTAAGTTAATTGATTCCTTTTTTTTCTTTCTTTTTTTTTCAAGAATTAGTGTGGAAGAAATAGAAATAACGTGCACAATTATCTTAAGGGAAGAAACCCTACTCATTTAGCCATCTAGAGGGAAGGATCAATTTCCCTTGTGCTATCAAACAAAAATAATTAATTACCAGTGATTAGTTGACTATTTTTTTTTATCTTTTCTTATTCATCTGTTGTCTTGGCCAATGTAAAGTTGTAGTTGTAAAGTTTCACCTTGACCCTGGCCTAGACTTGGTGTGGGAGAAGTAAACTCTTCAAACTTGTTACCAGACGTGGGAGTTCATTGATACAAGGTTTGGAACAATGAAAACAGTTTCAAAATATTTCTTTTAAAAACGTTTATATTGTGAAATTGTATCAATTAGTGTGGATCAGCCATGTAATTACATTTGTAATACATCGAGATTCTAGACTAACAAGAATAAATCTGTTCGATTAGAATTATTTTTACCTTTTGTTTTTGTTTAGCGCAGTTTCATGCTTTTAGCGTTCTCAATGTCTGGACCAGTTGTGATAGAATTGGTATGTGTGTAAATGTTACTGTGATCGCTTTATGAATTATAATTTTAAAAAATCGAACTCTGGGCTCAAGCCTCCTCAAATTCAACTTATACTATCTTTCAAGTACGATTTCTTTTCCTTGGTTGATACCAGGCAAAATATTTAATTATCAATTGTTAATTAACTAATTGGTTATTTTTTTTAGACTATAGTGTAGTCAGGTAAAAGAAATAATTGTGCAAAATTTCTACTTGATCCGAGATTGGGTGAGGGAGAAATAACGCGTACAAACTTTTTACCAGACAGATAAAGTGAGTTGGTATAAGCTTTGTAAAAAGTCGGCGGCATTCTTGATTTAAGTTGCGAGAACAAGATCGCTAAGTTACTTCTATAGATTTGGGAACTGAGCAAAATAGTTACCGGTACCAAAAAGAAAATAAATCTTCGGTAATAGCAAACTACAGAGTAGGCCTATTAACGGTGTTGAGAAGATGTATCCTGAAAAGAAGAAAGCTTTATTCGTAGTACAGACAGCAATTTTAAAATAATTGAAGACTAAGCGCGGCTATGAGAAGCATGCATTGTATCACCACTTGTTCAAAGAAGTTTCAACCATCTTAAAAGATATTTCAAATCCTTGGGAAAAAAAAAGTAATGAGAGTGACTACTGATGTCCTCAGGATGGCTGCCTGGTCGTGTGGTATGCGCGCTGGGCTGTCGTTCGGTCATCTCGATGTTCCCGGGTTCATTCCCTGCCCGCTGCCATCCCTCGTCGTCCTGCGATTGGTTTGGACTAGGAAGTAAAATATCTTCAACTCTGAAGGAACATCCGAAACATGTGAAACGTTTGACAAACATTGTTGTAACAAGAAACAGAATGGCTTGATGTCACAGCGGATTGGCAACAATAGCATGCAGAAAAGTCGTCGAGTCAAAGGGGACCTAACCTCTGGGGGGCATCATTGCATTTTTCATTTTAAAAATCTCTATGGCAAGGTTTAGATTTTCTAATAGAATTAAAGAGTTCTAATATGAAAAAATGTTTTAAAATGTTCCATTTTTTCTAAATCTAACATTCCTTAGTTATAAAGAGAAAAGATAATCTCTCTATAAGGTATATAAATGAGGTATTATCATTTTTTTTTTTAAAAAGTATTTTTTTTTAATTTGACATGAAATTTACAATTTTATGACGAAGAAATCTAAACAAGTGTTACATCTGAACGACCTCCTCGTGGTTGTGGGATTGGTCGATTGGATGCGACGTGACATCCTATCTGAATGAACTCAGTACCTACCAGGGAAAGTCAAGTTGATTGCGCGTGTGTATGCTGACATAAGGGTTATCCAAACGAAACTGCAACTCCTCATGTCCTTAAGTTGTATGACTCCATACAAGTCTAAATTCTATGCATGTTGTCTCTTCACATTAGTTAATAGACAAGTCATACTCTAACTTCTCTGCATGTTGTCTCTTCACATTAGTCAATAGACAAGTCATACTCTAACTTCTCTGCATGTTGTCTCTTCACATTAGTCAGTAGTAGTTTAATCACTCGCGGCGAGCAAACAACTGGATGAACACCTCAAGACCGAATTAATTAGCAGTTTCATCCCTTTTTTTTATTATTCAATGTGCTCCTTGTCTACTTCCTTCGCCGTTCTTGGTTGTTCATGTTGTTTGTAGGGTTTGCAAGGTCGTCACTACAAACGCACAGTATGGTCTGGCCACCATAACAATAAACATGGTCAAAACATGGTACAAAACTCCAGCTGAAAACACGGGTTAACGTGTTGAAGTGAATATAAAGTTAAGGATATTTTCAGGGAACTTTTTTTTGTGTGTATCGGCTTTTACAAAAGTGCTTTTGTTTTTTCCACTTTGGTGTCATCCCACAAAGGCTCACGTGGACTCAAATGGGTCGTGAATCTTTTTTTTTCATGCGCAACTTATGAATCTCTTGGCCAAAGGCAGTGGGACCTAATGGTCGTGGGCCCGGGTTCCTTTCGCGCCATGGATACTACGCCACAGATGTCTTGATTGTTGAAAATTAAAATGGCCCGGAGACCTAATAAAGTTGGGCGTCACTGCTCTAGTCTTATCTTATCTTATATAGTCAAATGTGAATACTCGTTTGTTAAACATTTTACGGCTCTATTTTGCTTCTATTCTAGTTTCTTAATGCGTTCTTGGGTTGAAGGTAAAACGTCAATAGCTAGAGGGAACGGCAACACATCATTTAAGTCAGTGACAATGATCATCTCAATATGTTCATGATGGTGACTAACAAGTCATTGAGGGCAACTATTTCAGGTGAGAGTTTGTGTGTAGTAGGCCTTACGAAGAACAAGAGTAGTCGCCAAATAATTTTCTTTAAAGTTTGTTTGCAGCTTTTTTTTGTTGATTAATAGGCCTGTTAATTTAAAAACTAAGTATTTGGAGAAATTAAGGATTCAACAACTTCAACTATAGAGTATTCTTGTACCAATTTCTTATGTTCCAAATTGATCGGAACTCTTTGCTTCGCTCTTCAATGTTTACAAACCGGTTTGTACCTGGACGCCATTACGTCGCTACGGACGTTGCTACAGAGAGTTGGTTTGTGTTTACTGTGTATAATATATCATTATTTCATTTTTTTTTTTTTTGGTGTCTATTGATAAAGTTAAGAGCTTTCTTCGACACACGTATATTATGAAATAATGTTTAATTTAATTGTGACGTCGATCTAGATCAAATTGTGGTTTGTCAGTAAACTCTAGAGTTAGAGTACTCTTAGTCTTAGAGTAGAGTGTTACAGTTACAGTGTAAGTTACAGTGTAGTGACGAGCATTTCTATCGTCGACTATCGATTTTCTTGTGCTCGATCTATCGCTAGACCTCTTACTCTTAGACTTCTTTAAACTTTGACTAACTTAGAGTCTTCAGCGTTGTATAGTGAGTGACTTGTAATAACTTGTATGCACACATAGTGATAGTGTGACATACTATCACATACTAGATCTAAATGTGGATAAAAAAATGACACTGCTAATTTTAAGTCTGCTTGTCATAATTAAGATTCATAGATTCAATTTAAAACTAAAATCAAGAAGATCAAATCATTAATTGATTGATTGTATCTGACTCTAAATTAATAGATCTAGACTGTATATCTTGCTAATTATAATAAAATATAATAATAATCTTTATTGTCGTAAGGTAATTTGTCTTACAATTTGTGCATTATACCAAACAAAACATTGTAACTAGAAAAAATCAAAATATACATTCACACCAGACACACTCATAATTTACACGTGAAAAGTTTATATCAAATTGTTTCTATTTAATAATTTGATTGCCAGGGGAACAAAAGAAGTCAATTTTATAGTTCCTACTGAGATACTTGTAACATTAAAACATAAATTATTGAATGTACACAAAGGATGAATACTGAACAGTGGTAGAGCTAGAGCAAGATTTAAGCTTTAATGATTGATGTTTTTATTATTTCCTATGGCATCTAGATTCTAGTTCTAGATGCTAATTGTAATATGCTTTAATGCTATACAAATAAAAAAAGCAACAAATTAATATTTAGATGTAGTCAGTTAAAAAAAATGTTATTTTTCTACATTAATGTTATAAAAGTTAAAAAGAAAAAACAACACTGTATTGATTATATTAGAAAAAAAAAGTGAGATTATTCTGGTCTCCTTGTTATAAGGAAATAAAAAAATTATAGTTTTGTTTCTGAATACTTCATATAAAACTTTAAAAACAAAAAAAGACCACTCTCTATTCTTTATGAATGTCATTTGAATGTTAAATGTTCTGTGATGCCGTTATGCACTTTTTTTTAGTTTCGTAAAAATATTACTCTTACAAAAGCTTAATATATATTTTGATCCATCAGACATATATTTGATACAATTTAAATTTTATTTCTAGTAATTGGCAATTTTTTGCTTATCATTACATCCACAGATAATAAAAATGACAGCTGGCTCAATTGCAGTACCCACTGTGATACCTCTGAGACCACCCTTGCCTGGTCGACCAAAGACTTCCATTGATTCTAATACAAAAATTGAATTGAAAACAGGTTTATTTCATATAATTTATTTAATAATGTTTGATGTTTGCATAAAATTAAAATGTTGTTTTATTGATTATATGAATATCTTATGTACAGAAACTGTAGGAG